CCCCCGGCCAGCGAGGGAGCAACCCACATGGTGCACCAGACCTCTCCTGACTCACCCGCTGTTCCCCTAAGTGGTGTACTTCAGTCAATCTGCCTGTTCTGTTCCTCGCTCTGTCTCTGGTGAATCCTCTCACCCCCCACACCTCTGGCCTGTGCCCAGCTCTTGTAATGCATAAAATAAAATAAATCTTTTAAAAAAAAAATCATGTGCTTTCTCAAAAAACAAACAAAAAAAAAGTGAAGGAAAGAAACAGGAAGAAATCCATAAAATTCTCTGTTAAACTAGCCTGGATTTTTCTGAGAATCATTGAAATGATTCATTTTTATATGCTATTGAGCTCAGAAAAATGAATCATAGAATAAACAAAAGCATTATTATAATACCAGAATAGATCTACTGCTACTCACCCTCTCTGACTTAGACTTAATTTCTTAGGTAACAGAGCCTGGGCATCTGGGACTTAGAAAACGCTGTGCCAGTGTTTCCTTATTGTTGTTACTATTGCTGTACTTCGAAAATTTTAAATCTACTTGGATGGAACCAGACCTAATTCTTTCTGTATCTTTCCCAGTGTTGTTACTGCATGTAAAATCATCACTGTGGCCATCACAAGCTTAAAGGGAGAATACACTGGGTTAATATTTGCAATTCCTTTTCTGCGGTTTTTCACCTAAGCTTGCAGAGACAGAAAATCAGCGCTTTTGGGAAATCATCTAATGATGCAGGCCTCAGGGAGAAGGAAGAGGCTGGCTGGACGAGACTCACTGCCTTCCTTGTTTTTACCACTGTCTGGTAGCATTTGGGGGATGGGGGGAGGTGTTCTGAGGGTGGAGGTAGACCGTGAGAGTGTGCATTCTTTATAGAGAATTTAAACAAAGTCAACTAAATGGAGCTGGGTGTGGTGGTGGTGGTCATTACCACATGCTGATGATGCTTAACATCATTATGGAAATTCTCTACAAGTTGAGAGGAGACCTCTCCCACCACCCTGTTGTAGCCCCTGGACACTACACCATGGATGCTATACCCAGCACCTCCCACAATGCCTGGCAGAGGCAGTTGTGATTATAGGGTGAAAGGCAGAGGTGGGAAATGACGATCTCGAGCCCCCTCCCCTGCTATTCCCTTGCTAGTTTTTTTTTTTTTTTTCCCTATTGATTATTTTTAAAGCATGACAGACAACCATAGCATACACTTCCCATTGTACTTGGTACATCTCTGGCCCTTACTAAAATCCTGTGCTGAATTTTAGATTCCACATCTCAAAGGAAATGTCCATTCAGTGAGGACTTAGCAAAGTAATGAACAACAGCTGGCCGATGGGATAAAGTGGGAGAAGCTTGGAAAGGCCTGAGTAGATGGATGAGGGAAGGTAGAAGGGGAAGGATGGTGAGCATATGGGCTCGGTGCTACAGAAGCAGGAGAACTCCGGATAACTGGAGTTGTTCGCCAGGGTGCCTTTCTGGCGCCATAGAAGGCTAACTCATCAATGGATCCAGAAGTTTCATCTTAGCTGGAGGATGGGGAAGTGTGTTTTGCACTAGGTTTAATCTTCAGTGACTATTTACACTTTTTGAAGCCCTGGAGTCACTGTACACCACTCCCAGGGTAGGGGAAGGGTGACTGACAGAGCTGTAAAAGCCAGTGGGGAGCAGGAGAGAAAGATGTCAAAGCAGGTTCATTGATTGTATGTGGCAAATGTATCACTCTGCTGGGGGCTGCCAATCATTGGAGGAGGTGATGCAGGGAAGGGAACATATGAGAACTCTATGTATTGTCTGCTCACTTTTGCAGAGAACCTAAAACTGGCCCCCAAAAAGTCTTTTTTAAAAAAAGGTAATGGGTAAGCACTGGGAAGAACTATTGCCAGAGCATAAAAATATTAAAAATCAGTTTTGCTGGCAAGATGCTTTCAAATTTACAGGGTGTTTTTTTTTCTTGTAATCTTACACAACTAGAAGGACAAGTGTCATTATTTTCATTTCTCAAGATGAGGAAACTGAAACCCAGAGATGAGAGTGCTTGTCTTAGAATAAAGCACAAGTGAGCCTCCAAGCCAGGTCCCAAAACCCATTCTGATTGAGACGATAACCAATGGGTGTCTCCCCTGTGTCCTCTAGCTATTCACAAGCTTCAAAGAAAAGAAATTTTATTCTTTCCTGGATTGGTCAGAGTCAAAGTTGGACCAATTATCAATGTAATTAAGACATAAGACAAAGAAATGGAAATGAAATCATAATAAAAAAAGAAAGATTATCCCAACTATAAGATTATCCAGACCACATACTCTTTCAAACTTCAGACTCCTAAGAGGACTATTCTGAAATCACCAACGTTAATGGACTTAAAATGGAGAGGAAATAAAAGTCTCCAGATCATTTCTAAGACAAAAATTCCTGATGTTTTAGGATTGACAAGGTCCACAAAGAGTCACGGGGGAAATCAGGAGCAAAAATGAGGTGTCAACCCACAACGCAGATGCACCCAGGCCTTAGGACACAGTCTAATTTCCCAAAAGTCAGTGAATTGTCTATCAATTTTAACTTATTACTAATTACAATAACAAGAACAAGTACTTATGGAGAGCTTATTTTGTCCCAGGCTTTATTCTGAGGTTTTAATGAATAACAACGAAATTTGTTTTGTAATATCAAAATACCCTTTGAGGTCATCAGAAAGTGCCAAAGACTTGGGACTTGCCACTTTTGGGTGCAAATTGCCAGTGCTGGCGCCACCCGGAAGGAAGGAGGTGGAGGTGTAACAGCTGACTACGAATTAAAAGCAGATTTTGCCAAACAACAAAGAAATGGGGACATTCCCTCTAAAAACAATGCATGAAGCAGCTCTCTGAATAGGTTTAGGTCTTTTCTGTTATAGGCAGAAATCAACTAAAGCTTATTTCAAAGAACAACCTCTTCATATTACAAAAATATGATTTTAAAGAAGCTTTCACCACCATACAACACTCAAAGAACAAAAGGCAGATATATAAAAACCACGGGACATTTTATATCACTTGAGGGTGCCTATCAGAGGGAAAGGAATCAAACATTCATAGAGTTTTTAGTGATTGAGGCTGATGCTGGCCATCCTGAGTGGCTCATTTTAGGTAAGGAGAAAATGTGGGGAAAAGATTTCTTTTGGGGCCTCCCTGGTGGTGCAAGAGGTTAAGACACAGCACTATGAAGCTGTCCGCAGCCACCACAGTATGAGTTCGATCCCCAGCCAGGGAGCTACCCACATGGCACAGCAGACCTCTACTGTCTCACCCAGTGCTCCCCTCAGCAGTGTATTTCAGTCAGTCTGCCTATTCTGCTCCCCACTGTGTCTCTGGGAATCCTATCACCCACTGCATCTCTGGCCTGTACCCCAGCTCTTCTATGCATAAATAAATAAATCTTAAAAAAAAAAAGATTTCTTTTGGAAAGTTCTTTTTTTTTTTTAAGATTTATTTATTTATACACGCAAGAAGTGGGGTAAAGGCCTGAGTTTTGGGGGGTGAGAGGATTCACCAGAGACAGAGTGGGGAACAGATCAGGCAGATTGACTGAAACACACTGCTGAGGGGAGCAGTGGGTGAGTCAGGAGAGGTCTGCTGCACCATGTGGGCCACCTCCCTGGCCGGAGATTGAACTTGTGCTGCAGTGGCTGCGGTGAGCCTCCTAGTTTGCGTCTTAATCCCTTGTGCCACCAGGGAAGCCCCTCTTTTGGATTGTTCTTTTGAATATTTCTCCTAGCATTTTTTTCTTTCATATTCTTGTTAATTTCTGAATCTCGTGTAAGTAGGACAGAATCTTTCCTAGACCAGCAATGACTCTTAGCACACAGATACTGGAGAGGTAATATGGACTGAGATCTTCAATCAGGTGTAAACTTCCACATCAGGACTGGAGTTTGTCTCTGTAAGACTGTGGTAGGGAGATGTGGGGAGATATGCAGGATGACAACATATAAGGTAAGTTTAGGGAGGATGCAGAAGAAAGATCTGGAAGACAACCTCTGACCACCCCAACCACTGACTAGTAATTATTCTTTCTCTGCAGAGCTCTGACCTGGGACTACTCAGTCATGCGTGTCTGCACGCTGGCAGCATTTAAGATGCTTGACACAGGACCCCTGGTCAACGCAGAGGGAGAGGAGGTAGTGGGATTCATCCTGCTGAGAAGGTTTATTCTATTTATCTTGACACAAGTGCCACATCTCAATCACAGGTTCGGATTCTCTACTGCTGGTTTCTGTGCTGCGCCTGCCAACAGCTCAGTGTCCGCAAATCACAATGGTGCTCTTCAGAGCAATTCCCTGAATGACTTGCTGAATCATGGAAACTATTCTCTGAAAGCACGCCCCACGTCCTGACCAAACAATCCTTTCATCAAAAACATCCCGACATGATCATTTCTATGTTCACAAAAGACATAATAACATAAAGGAGATTGTGGAGTGTTACACTACACCCAAGCCCCATGCACTAAAATTTTCTAGCAAGCAGAGCCACCTAGTGGTGGAATGGAATAAGGGTTTTTAAATTATCTAATTTCTCTAATAATCCGGTGGGGGGGTGGTATATGTGGGTGTGGGGGTGTGTGTTTGTGTGTATGTGTGTTAATATGTTCATTGTACTTGCTCTTATTTACAGTTATTCCCTTTGAAACTGTCACCTCCATCTGTTTTCCTTACCAAACACCCATTCATCCAAGGTCAATAAGCCCACAGGTTGTCGTAATCAGAAAGTTTGATCTTAACACAGACGCGGACTCAACTGTGTCTCTTTGAAGGGCAAGAAAATGTCAACGTTAATTTATTTCTAAAGATGAAGAGCCACTATGGTATTTATGTTGCAGTGTCCTGTTTTCCATAACTCAAACTTCTTTTTCTCCACACACCCATGCTAAGTGTCATATAAACTTCACAGATACGGAGGAGGTAGCCCAGAGCATCCTGCTAGGCTCCCCAACCTCCTCCCCCATACACGCATGATCTATGGTAGGAAATGGGGGTACCTTGGGCTGTGGATGGATTCCTTTTCTTCCTTTAAAGGCGGTAAACACCCACAGTCATCTAGGACAGAATCAAAGCAAAGTCACTGTTAGTCACTGAAATTCTACCTTCTAGTCGCAAGACTATGTAGCTGAGCATCACTTTTCGCTGGGCTGTGCGGTCACTTGTGCAGAAATGGCCCCACTGGGGGCTGCAGAGGTTCAAGGATTAATGGCTGCAAGGCTCTTGACAGAACCAAGCACCCAAACACAGACAAGCCTTCAGCCTGAGGCCCTGCCGGAAAGGGCGCGATTCCTCAGCTCCATCACTCAGTCCCTCAAGATGCCATGTGGCTGCTCCAGGAGCCAGAATCTACATGTTTCAGGACAGACGCGGGAGCAGAATGGCCTCCTCTGAGGTGCTGGTGTGCATGGAAGGACCACAGTTAGACTGCGTGAGGGGAAGCAGCAGGCCAGCTGGGGACAACTCACCTTCCTAGGTTATTAGCACTCTCTCCTGTTCCCACTCTCTCCTGTTCCCACTCTCTCCTGTTCCCACTGTTATTTCTAAGGGGGAAAAAAATCCATGGGATTTACCACCTATGTGCCCAGATAACGAACTCTCTGCTTTGGTTGTTAAATACAAACGCCTGTTTCTATCTTCCAGCTTGAGCGAGTAGAATAGAAGCTGTGCATTGCATTATAAATTATCTTGAAAGCAAATGTCAAAATAATAAGATGCTGTCTATGGGTAATTAATTTTTTTTTCGCATTTTCCAAATTCTGTTGTGTATGCTTAGTAATTTTTTTGTAACTAAAAACAACAAATGAAACAATGTTAAGGCTCATCTTAGTAGCCCACTCCATCCTTCAATGCTTTACAGGGTCATTCTTTACTCACTATTGGACTCTGAAATGCCGTTAGAAATGGTACAAGTTAAGCAAATAGTCCCTATCTTTTATAAAGCTCACTTTGACAAGACTGTAGTGCAATAATTTTAATAAATATTTGGATTTGAGGACTGTGTTGTAGGTTGTTGAGTACGACAGAGCCAATGTATTAAGAGAGATCTTAGGGGCCTCCCTGGTGGTGCAAGGGGTTAAGCACCGCACTATGAAACTATCCACAGCCTCTGCGGCACGAGTTCGATCCCTGGCTAGCCAGGGAGCAACCCACATGGCGAAGGCAGAGCAGACCTCTCCTGACTCACCCACTGCTCCCCTCAGCAGTGTATTTCAGTCAGTCTGCCTGTTCTGTTCCCCACTCTGTCTCTGGTGAATCCTCTCAGCCCCCACATCTCTGGCCTGTACCCTACCTCTTATATGCATAAATAAATAAATCTTTAAAAAAAGAGAGAGATGTTAAAAATGCCAATGCTATAATAATATAGTGGATTTGGTTAATTTAATCCAAGCATTCAAAATGATTTATTGATTTTTAAAGGAACAAAAAAGAAAAACAGTTATCTTCATTTTTTTTTTTTTTTAAGATTTATGTATTTATTTTTTATTTATTTCTACAAGCACTGGGTACAGTCAGAAGTGCGGGAGGGTGAGAGAATTCACCAGAGCCAGAGCGGGGAGCAGAGCAGGCAGAAGGACCGAGGTACACTGCTGGGGGGAGCAGCGGGCGGCAGGAGAGGTCTGCGCGCCATGTGGGACCCTCCTCCGGTGGCCGGGGAGCAGCCGGGGATCGAACCGGTGCTGCAGAGGCTGCAGGCAGCTTCGCAACCCAGAGCTCAACCGCTGCGCCACTGGGGAGGCCCAGTTATCTTCATTTTAAGTCCAAATATCCATTTAATGAAAAGGAGGGAATATATATTACTATTAGTGCCAGTTATTAATTGAAATTTAAGTTTAAGAGAATACTTATATTTTCATCTATTTTAACACTATCCAGTCAACTTTCTACAGTGATGGAAATGTTCTATAGTCTCTGCACCCAGTGTACCTGCTGGTGACAAGTGGCTACCAAGCTCTCAAAATGTGGTTAGAATAACTGAGGAACTTAATTTTTTACTTTAATTTTTAAAATTTAGAAATAGCCACATAAGTAGTGTCTATTGTCCTGCATAGCTCAGATCCAAGCTGCCACATTTGACATAGTTTTATAGGCATATACAATTAAAGTTACAGATTTCCAAGTTCTATACATAAGGTAATTAATGCCAGCTACTAACTTTTTCTGGATAAGTTGACCTGGATGTCCTTGCTTGAAAATATGAGCATTTTCTGCTTCAAAAAGACTATTAAAAAACTTATAAAAAAAATAATTAAGTGGCCACGAATGATGCAATAATTAGAGAGAGTATTTAAGGAAGGTCGGACCCAAGTTTATCTCACACTATCACACTTTAGGATTTATGGGGCATTTATCAAACTGGTGCAGACTTCTCTTACAGGAGAGGTCAGAAAAAACAAAGTTAGGTCACCACATACCATTTTTGTTCATGCTGTTCATCCACTTATCAAGCTCTTCCATTTCTATTTCCATAACAGAGGGTGTGTCTTCCTCAAAAATAGGACTAGAGAAAGAGAGCAGAGCAGAGCAGAAAGCTTAATAAAAATAAATGGGCGGAGTGCTGAATTTCCTTTGGGGAAGAGTCTAGAATGTTGACTCTGAGGAAGAAGAACTCGATTCAGGGTCTTACTTCCAGGGTAAGGGTGGTCTGGGATTTGCACTCTTCAAAGGTACCAACTCTAATGGGAAGAAAGTCTAAATGTAAAGCAAGACTTCATGTAGCCCCATCCGAGAATGGAGGCAGAGTCTAGCATGTGGGTGAAAGGAAACCAGGAGTTGGCTGCTCCCCAGAAGGACCAAGGCCCAGCTTTGAGGCTGCTGTGGGGATTGCCACATTTGCAGAGCAGCCTTGCTCCACCTCACTTCCCTTTCCTGGGTGTTTTGACCAGAGCTACAGATCAAGAAGCCACAGGTTACTTTCCTCACCTCTTCCTCTACCCGCAGCTCAACCCTCTGGAAGAAAGAGGGTGTTGCTTCAGAGATCCACTGCGCTCACTTACCAGGGCTCAGACAGCAGAGCTGGGGGGGAGGGAGCATTAAAGTAGATGGTGTTGGGGGCGGTGGGAGCCCTGAAGCTGAGTAGGTGTATACCACAGACAGGAAGCCTTAATGACTTAGACGGGAGGTAGAGGGGGGATATCACCCCAGAACTCTCTTCTGGGTAGAATTTCTCTCTGTCTCTCTCCTTCCCTCCCCACTTTCCTCTTCTCCGCTTCCTCATGCCCCCAGCCCCTGTGATTCTGGACCTTCCAAACATTATGCTTCTAACAGGGCTCTCCTCTCTTAACACCCATGGAAGTAGCATCCCTGGTGATGATATTTTCAACCAGAATAAATGAACCAATGTCCTTGAAATACACCCAGGGTCAGAATATGTAACTGTTGTGCATTTGGAATTGGTGGCCGTCAGGAAAGGATTGTTTTCTGAACAGATATCCCTCCCTCCTCCCCAAATCCCCTGTTGCACTGAGGTGTTGGGGGGGGGGGCGGTGAGGGGTAGGCACTTCCCACTATGGGCCACCTCGTGGGGCCCCAGAAGCAGGAGATCCCTCCCTTCCTTCCAGGGGTATCAGAACCATAATTCCTGGCCCTCTAATGCACTCCTTTCCCTAAGATCCTTGTCCACACTGAACTGGGGGTCACAGCTGAGCGGTACTTACACTTTCAAGTTTTCACTTCCCAGTCCATCTAAAGGAGGATAAATAAAAAGATTATGTTAGCTTTGTCGTCCTAACAACCGTTTATTTCAAATCACTTGAAATCTCCTTCACAAGGCGAACCGAATAACTCTAAGTAGATTTTTATTTTATTTATTTATTTTTTTTGTGGGACCTTCTCTCGGTGGCCGGGGATCGAACCGGGGCTGCAGAGGCTGGATCGAACCGGGCTGCAGAGGCTGCGGGCAGCCTCGCAACCCTGCGCTCAACCGCTGCGCCACCAGGGGAGGCCCCTAAGTAGATTTTTAAAGGATCCTAATAAGCCTTGAAGTCAAACAAGTGCAGATCAGATCTATCTAAGTATAAAAACAATTTCTTTTCGATATGAAGGTCTCCTGAAAGAGCCCACTCTTTGTGTTCATCCCTCTTTATTTTTGTTTTTCATACCAAGAGGAAAGCAGTGGTAAAGAGAAGAAAAAGAAGGGTCAAACAAGGGGGTTTTTTACTTGGCCCCCTGCCTCCAAATGTCCTGTTCCTTCCCCTGTGGCGCCACCGGCCACCACTATGACTGTCCCTTTGTCCTAGAGTCAGGTGGGGGGGTCCATACCGGCTTCCCTGAAACTCTCCCTTCCCTCTGCTCCGTGTGTGGTCTCAGCTTGAACACTCAGGTTCCCCGGGGCCCCAGCCCTCCTTCCTAAGTCCCAGCTCAGCTTCTGGCCTGCTCCTTCATAACAGTTGCCACTTTGTCATCGATCAATCCTCTCTTCAGTTCTTTCTGCCTCTCCCACTAGGACCAGCCCCCAAAAGGGCAGGGATGGGGTCTGGCTTCTTCAATGGGGGGGGGGGTCCTCCCTTTCTGGCACCCTGCTAGCATAATACCTGGCAAACATCCTGTAAACATTTGTTGAATAAAAGAATAGGCCTTCCCCTGGATGGTCCAGCCCTGGTGTTAAATTCATGCCCAAGGGTTGGGGTTTAGCATTATCATAAGAATGAAACTTTCAACAAGCCCAAAGTTGAGCTGCTGTTGGTGGTGAGGGGACTCTGGATGTTGCTGCAGGGCAGATGCTAAATGAACCTGGGGGAGAGACTTAGAGCTTCGAGGCCCAACACAAACTGTTGTTTGGTGGGGGAGCCAGCACCCCCAGAAAAATGGGTGATGATGATGACAAGTGAGTGGATAGCCTGCCCACCATTTAGGATGGGAGAGCCACTAGGCAGCAAACCTCTTCCCCGAGGTGCGCACACAGCAGGTGCCCCTGATCCATAGCAACTGGGCCATCAGAGGCTTCCTGTCTTCTGGCAGGAAGAAATACAGGTCCCCACGAGGGTTCACAACCAGCAGGCAACTGGAACTGAGCTCCTGGCAGCTGGGAGCCGCTGTTATTTCTTGTGGGTTGGCAAGCAGGATGGCATTGCTGAGCCAGGAAAGCTGGGCACAGATGTAAGTTTCATGCCATCACTGCCTACCTTTAGAGGGCTCTGGGCCCCTTGTCAGAATCTCAGGCTTGCTGCGGATGTCTGACTCCTCAGAAGGTTTAATGGGAAAAGGAGAGTATGTTCATCTTACATTCTTACAGTTACACATTTTCCATTTAAAATTTGCAGTCTGTTTTTTACATAAAATCCCTTTGCAGCTGGACCTCCCGTACAGGTGACCCATGAAGATCCCCCTGCTTTGGCACTGTCCCCTCCCTCTCTCATTTCTCTGCTTAATAACCCCCTACTAATTTCTCAGAGAGCAAATGGCCCCACAGCCCTGTTGTCAAGGGCATGGATTTATCTTGATAATCTGGGTGCCCGCAGGCTTCGAGGTGAGCAAAAGCTAACCCTGCGTGCAGATGATGGAAAAGTTTAAAAACCCATTACGAAAATGCTCCAGATGCACCAAATGTGACGCTCCTGTAATCAGTATTCAAACAGAGCAAAAAGCCTTCTGTGGCCTCGGCTCCCCTGAACCACGGCCATTACCCCTGCCCCAGCAGCCATGGCAACAGAAAAACATCTGGGAGAGCTCAGCAGAGCAGAGCATTAAACCAGGAGGGAGACCAATTACTGGTCCTCAGCAATCAGGGCTGCCCGCTCCACTCCACCTGGCCTGTATCTCTATATTAACAGCCACCTACTCCCTTCCCTGCACAATCGGGAGGCAAATGCAGCTCTCACAGTGCCCCTCCCCACCCTCACTTGATTCCATTTTCCCTCCTGCCATCCGTCCATTTCATATCCTCCTACTTTGCCCGCCCTCTTCGGCACCTACATTATACCCACTTAGCCTGCCTCGGGCCCCTCTCCTAGCTCGGCTCCACTGTGCACTTGATGGTGGGCCAGCTGGGGGGAGGGGACAGAGCCCAGCAGGAGGCTGCGTCCTTGTTTCCGTGCTGACCCGGGAGCAGAGTCTCTTTCTGGGGATTTAATGGGCAGTGCAGGTGTCAAGCAGTCAGTCTGTTTAAAGAGATGGTTTACTGCCAGCTTCTCTCCCTGCAGTTCTTTCACAGACACATAGTACAACAAGGCACTTCATAAATGTTAAATAATAACAACTGTAAATTTAATGCCCCGAGGCCTTGGATGATGAGAGCAGAACATCAAGTCAGTACTGGGTTCCCTTTCCTGGACAGGAAACGGACAGTCCTAAAGAAAAAAAAGCTAATTTCCAGCCAGACAAAATGTTCTTTTGAAAATTGTTGGTGAGTCCTCTCCAGTTGTCAAATTTAAAGACTTACTTCCTGGTGTGGAAGAACATACCTGGCCCTTATGAGGAAAAAACACTATGTCTATTTGAACTTTCTGGGTAGATATCCTCAGTACCCCCCAAAAAATGCTCCTTTGGGAACTTTCCAAGCCAAATACTGCCTTTTTCTAAGTTCTTTACATAGATGAACCCATTTCATTCTCACCAATGTGTCCATTTTACAGGCAAGAAAACTGAATGAGAGAGACTGGAGAGCTAGAAAGTGCAAAAGAACACTCTGTGGTTCAATCTGTATTCTCAGCCTCAGGACCACACTGTTAACCAGCAATAAATGAGACAGGTTCTTGGTTTCTCGGGCCTTAAAGAGAACATAACCCAGTAGGCAAGAGAGATTCCAAAAAAGGCAAGTCACTGACTTCTGACAATGTAAATATTGTGCGTAAGTGTGAACATGGCTTTGAGAGCACAGAAGGGGTCCTGATGAGTTTTGCCTGGGGAGTGATTGCTCAAAGCCCCATAAAAACTTTAGAACTGGGCATTGAAGAAGAATGGGGTGGCAGCTTGCCAAGCAGACAAGAAGGAAATTCCAGACAAAAGAAGTGGCATCAACCAAGCAGGGAGGCAGCAGGCAAGTGCAAGTCAAGCTTTAGGAACAGCAAACCCTTCGAGTTCAGTCACAGGGTAGGCACATGCATACAACAGAGCAGGGGCCGTTCTCGCTTCTGACTGGCTTTGAACTATGAGATTCTCCCAGTAAAGCTCAACAACCGCTTTCCAGATTTAGAGCCTAAGAGCATAAGCCTTTGGACACCCCCCCCACCCCACCCCACGCTCCTTCCAACACTGAGATTCCATTAGGTAAGACCTGTGGTGCATGATAGTATGGACAGGAAATTCTTTTGGGGTGGTTAAAAAATGGAGGTCCATTTTTAACAAGTTTGGGTTTTTTTAAAGGTTACAAAGGCGCTCCCACATGGGGACGGTTATTAGACCACCTGAAATTTCAAGTAGCAGAAAGCTGTATATTTCCTTTCTTGCTATCTGCCCTATCAGTCCCTGACAGGAGAGTAAAGCGCTAAGTGCTCCTTCCCCAGCTCACATTTGCCCCACCTGCTGGCATAATGGAAAACAGTAGAAAGTGACCATTTACATCTCCTGCCCATACTTAAAGGCTCCTCTTAGCAGGGACAGCACGGTCAGAGAGGACCAGGTCAAGGACATGATCTCAGCCAGAGATGCCTTGTGAGTGGGTGTGAGAGGCATAGAATGAGGTTTGTATGCACATAAACATCTGTATTTTATTAGAGAAGTTTTCACTTTTTAAATGATTTTTGGAATGATTTTAAAGGCCTTAGTTTAAATCTAATTGGAATCGTTTTTACCAGCGCAAGCCCAAAGTACCCTGGTCTGCTTTGGACCTGGAACCACCTGAAAACTTAGCATCTGATGCTTCCAGAAGTGAAAATGGATGCCCTCAATATGTATCTCTGACCTAGGGAATTTTCTCTCAGGTTGGTTTCAGACTGAAGACAGCAATCTTCAGCCAATGAGGAATTTCACTATGAAAGTTATCATACTTGTAATGGGAAGAAGAACAGGCTTTTCAAGATCAAATCGGGATGTGGTCTGGGTGGGGGAGGAAGACAATATGTGAGAGAAATACAGATGGAAGAAGCCTCCTCTTGTGAAGGTGACCCCAAAGTCTTCAGTCTGGAGTAGGTAACGAGGTGGCATCTGTGCATTTTAAATTCCAAGGTAGGCTAAAACTGCATTCTTTTTTAAAAGGAAAGAAAAATGACATTTTTAAACTCTCGGAAACCTTAAATTATGTCCCTTATAGCTCCCTATTTATGTGGCTTAACTTTAAAACCTCTCCTCCTACCCCCTCCCCAGCTCTAAGCAGGTATTAGGATAATTATTAGGATAATATTAGGATAATACTCACATGTCTGAAAAGCATTCTGAGACTCTTGACTAGAAGGCTCTGTGTAAAAAACAAAAAGTAGTTTATTGTAATGATTGTTCATTAACATATGAAGCAATTGCCTAGAAATGGGAATATACAAAACATTTACCTTGTTTAGATCTTTTTCTTTTATAGTATATTAAAAGCAGTATCGTGCCTAGAAGTAAGGCCAATAAGACCACAGGGATCAATACCATTAATATAAACTGCAGCTGAATTTCCTCCCCATCGATGAAGGTCACATTCGTGCTTGCAAAGAATGTGTCTGTGGTCTCTGCTGCCAGTCCGCTTTGAGTAATGGTCTCTCCGCGTGTGTCTTCCTCTTCCTGGGGCATATATCCTGACTGTTCTGAGTCTTCAAAATAACCTGTGAGAACACACAAAAATCAAGATTGCCAGCGAGACAAAGCGAGTATGTTATATATATATATATTTTTTCTAAATTTATCCTACATGCATCCAGTGATAAACTTGATCCACTATATTTGGTCTCCCAGTTCAATGTGTCACGGAGTATTGATTTTTCATAAATGGAACGCAAGCTGGGAGTATATTGAACATGGAAGCAGAGCCCAGAGATAAACCTCCTACAGATGAAGCAATTTAGCCTTGACCGCACACCTTAGACACACTTCCGCAAAGGGCGTGAGAAGCTGTGCCGTGTCCAGCTGATACTCCAGGACATTTCCTCTAAGGGTATTGTGATATTTAAGAGCACTTCTCAGCAATTCAAAATTCCCATTTACAAGAAGAGAAGTACTTGCCTCCTAACACTTTTAGGTTTAAAGGAATACGCTGTGTCCTAATTTTAAATAAAAGGTTGCTGCTGAATGGAAAAGAATTATTTGAAATCAGGGTGACTGCTTTGATATTGGTGTCAGTTCTCACATTCTTCAGCAAACTGAGTCTGCTTCTGAGATTATCTGACAGACGCCCTCCTGGGTTCTGAATAAAAGCACAACATATATTTCATTTGTGTAGTGAAATACTCAAGGGGAAATTCCCTCCTCAGGCACTAAGGAAACTGCACTGGTATTTAAATCTGTGTAGTAAAATGCACCTTTAGAATGCACCCTGTTAATAAGCTACAAGCCAGTTTTATTCTGTTTGAACTTGACAGTGTGTCAAAAAGTCATCTTGTGGCTCATCACAGCACAAGGAAAGTGCTGTTAGCTTGATGATTATTTGAAAAACCTGCCCTACCTGGCTAGGTAGTGATGTTGGTAAGTTGAAGATTTTCATCTTATGTGGCTTATTTAAGTAGGACCCACTGAGGAAAATATGTGGGTTTAGACTATAGAAAATGTATCAAAGGGGATAATTTATGTGAAAGCTCTTTCTACAGTGTTAGGTGCTATGCCGAGACCTTGACTGCGTTAAGCCATGCCTGATTACTCCAGGTAAGAGCACCATGCCACAGAGTGACCTCACAGCCACTGCAGAGCCAACTCTGTCCCTTGTCTTCCTGCCTGACTGCATGACAAGGTGTAACAGCAGGATGGGCCAGAGCAGGATATCTATGTATGACCCGAGCAGACGAGCGAAGGAGGAGAGTCCTGGAGCCCTCGGTGGCTTTTCAGGCTTTTATTGGGATTTACCAGGTACATGGCAGGCAGGGGGTGCTGGGGGGCCTGAAGGCTGGCAGGCCTCCCAGCCCCCAGCATGTCCTCACTCTATCTGGGCTCTCCGCATTCTCTGGTGGTCTCTGCTTCTCTGCTCTCGTTCTCTCTGCTTCTCTCGTGGTTCTGTTCTGCTGGTGTCCCCGTGACACCACCCTTATAAGCGCAGCCTTAGCCCAGGTGAATCCCATCTACCTATGCCCACACCCTACTCCAGGTGCCCGCCATCAGGCATGCATTCGGGACAGCAGGGTTCCGTCATCTATCCTAATGGCGGGAGGGCAGAAAAGCCTGATACTTTTTACCTTACCCTACATAAGGGAATAAAACTATTCCTCTGCATGGGGGCCTGTGGTGATGGTTCATGGGTGAATTAGTGAAGGAAATTCTATGGGGACTACACCTGAAGGGGGGGAAGCAAACATTGTTTAAAAATGAACAATGATGTAAAATACATATAAATAAAAATAAGTAAATAAATAAATAAAAGTATTCCTCTGATCACTGACTAGTTCTTTTTTTGTTATGTAAACAAACATTTCCATTTCCTCCCAAGATGAGGAAATCCACTTGTAATCACTTTGGTAAACACCACCACAACCAACCAAAGGGATCCTCCACAGACTGCAGAGTGTAACTACCTGGCGTTAGGCACACGGAGATGCCACAAGCAGGATTTAAGAAAGACTTAAGCATTCATTGGCCCCAGCCTTCTGGATGAAATGGCTTGGTCCTATCATCATGTCTTTGAAATAAGGCGAATCGATAGACTCACACATGTGAACAACTTCGATAGATCATGTATTGCCCTGGATTTGTCCATCGCTGCCTTGAAGCCATCCGTGTGCAGGGCTGCGGTCCTCACCCACATCAGCCCAGGACTGGATGTATATGGGAGGGGTGGGGGCCACATGCATAAATGCAGCCGGTGTTAGTGCCCCTATTCCATGAGGTCTGTGCCGTGGCCTTCCTGGAATACTCCAACCTGCTTTTCCTTTGGCTCTCTCCTATTCCCTGTAGCTGTTCATGCTACTTCACACCAATCTTTTTTTATTTTTTAAAGATTTATTTATTTTTATACAAGAATTGGGGTACAGGCCAGAGATGTGCGGGTGAGAGGATTCACCAGAGACAGAGCCGGGAACAGAACAGGCAGATGACCATAATACACTGCTGAGGGGAGCAGAGGGCAAGACAGGAGAAGTCTGCTGTGCCATGTGGGTTGCTTCCTGGCTGGCTGGGAATCAAACTCGTGCTGCAGTGGCTGCGGATTGCTTCATAGGTTGCGTCTTAACCCCTGTGCTACCAGGGAGGCCCTTCACACCAATCTTTTTTTTTTTTTTTTTTTTTTATAGAGGCATGCTTATTTATTTATTTATTTGTTTGTTTTTTGTTTATACATGCACTGGGTACAGTCAGAAGCACGGGAGGGTGGGAGAAGTCACCAGAGCCAGAGCGGGGAGCAGAGCAGGCAGAAGGACCGAAGGACACTGCTGAGGGGAGCAGCGGGCGGCAGGAGAGGTCTACGCGCCATGTGGGACCCTCCTCCGGTGGCCGGGGAGCAGCCGGGGATCGAACCGGTGCTTCAGAGGCCACGGGCAGCTTCGCAACCCAGCGCTCAACCGCTGCGCCACCGGGGAGGCCCCCTTCACACCAATCTTTACAGACAATTTACTGAACCAAATCCTGTGCTCTGTCTTTTACCTGGATTACTTATTTTTTAGAAAGAAACTGGAGCAAAGAGGTGATGCAATTTGTCCCAAGTCACAGACAAGGGAGGATTTGAGCCCAGGCAGGCGCATCACTTGACCTGGGCTTTCTGCTCACATTGCACTCTCTGGTCAGACAGGAATGGCTGTGCGAGTCATGAAGAGGGGAACCTGATGTTCTTGCCCTCAGCCCTCAGCCCTCAGAGGAGGTAGTTTTCCAGTACAAAGGGGAAGGGAAGAGAATGGTTCCCACAAACCTCAGCTTGCCTAAAACTTTTGCTGAGAAGCTCAGCCCAGATGCAGGAGAGCAAAACTGCCCAGAACCGCAGCGTCTTTTTAGCTTCTCTCCAAAGAACCAAGTTCCCAGTAGAACACTCAGTGCTCTGAGTCACCACTTGACCCATGATGGCAGAAGAAGAGAGGAGAGGAAAGGAAATAAGCTAATAGGAATAATGAGGGCATTTGGACATCCAGGAATGCGAGACTAAAAGAAGAGCACCAGATGGTCCTGGGCTGGGAACATTCATTTCTCAGCATTAGAGACAGCACTGTTCACTGGGCTCTTGGCGCCATTTTGGAATGAAAGAAGCCAAGGTTCTCCACACAGTATTCCTCTCCCACACGTCCTAACATATTTGCCATGTTAAACAACATTTACTCTCAGCTTCCTAACAGCTATTTAAATAAATGAGAATCAAGGTTCTCTCTCTGTTTTATTTTTCTTTACCCTACAGCCCTTCACCCCCCCCAAACACTCCTACCACCACCTTCTCACTGCCCTCCTGCCCCAATCAATGTCTAAGGGCCTCAAAATAATAACAGTAATTGGCATTTATCAAACACTTAGGATGGGCAAGGTCCTGAGCTACGTCAAGAACTTTATTGTTCACATTTTACAGATAAAGAAACAGTCTCCCTGTCCCTGTCATTTATTTTTTTTTTTTAAAGATTTATTTATTTATTTATTTATACAAGCACTGGGTACAGTCAGAAGCGCAGGAGGGTGAGAGGATTCACCAGAGCCAGAGTGGGGAACAGAACAGGCAGACTGACGAAGTACACTGCTGAGGGGAGCAGCAGGTGTGGTAGGAGAGGTCTGCGCGCCATGTGGGACACTCGCCCAGTGGCCGGGGATCGAACCGGGCAACCCAGCACTCAACCGCTGCACCACTGGGGAGGCCTCACCTGTCCCTGTCATTTATGTTATAAGTTCTACCAGTGAGTAAGGTTTGAAGCTGCATTTTCTCAAGCACAGGTGTCAAATAGCAGGGGAGGTTCTAGTCTTAGCTAGGTCTTAGTCATTGTGGGAATTTGGACAAATATTATTGTTTACCCCCTGAGTGATTTTAAGTTCCAATCTGTACAACTATGGAGTGACCGCCCTAGGCCCGTATATCTATGCACACATTTCTATGTTGATGCTAAAGCGTTCATCTTGTCCTTTACCAGAATTTTCAAATCGGTACTGTACACTTGTCTCTAAGGTCAGAAAGGAAATTTAACCACCACCCCTCACTCAGTTTCACTCCCTAGAGACAACGGCTGTTTCCGCTGCCTTCCAGAGAAACTCTATGCAGATGCCAGCCTAGGTATTGCTTCCTCTTTTCATTATTTAACACAAAGGGTCACAACATTTACATACACTCATGCATGTACTGCCCCTTGCTTTTTCTGCTTAGAATTAGATCTGGAAGATTATTCTGGACCTGAATGCACAGAACAATCTTTCCCCACTATTATTTGGATGTCTCATGGTCATTCCTATCGATGGAGATTTAGGCTGTTTCTTTTGTATTTCCAACCAGCACTCACCCCTACACTTGCTTCAGTCTGCAATGCACATGTGTGTTCCTGGTGTAGCTCAGGATTGGCGAGAGCAGGGCAGAGGGTGTTGGGAGCAGGGGAGTAGGGGTGGCCCCAGACCCCTCTGGGTGGTCTGCCCTCAGGACTGCTCCACCTCTAGCCCAGCCCTCAGGCAATGAGAACTGGTAGAAACTAAGGCTGGGTGTGCAGTGAGCATGTGCTGAGAAAGGGGAGCA